TAAATAAAAATTAAAAAAATAAAACATTTATTCATTCATTCATAAAATCCATCCATCCATCTATCCATCATCCATCCATGCATCCATCAGCTTCACTGGTGGCTTCAACTCCCCTGGTCCTCTTCCACCGCCCTCCTCTCCGCCTTCACTGCTTCCATCCCTGTGGATGCCATGGCTTCGTGGAGCTGCTGCAGCAACCGCCTGCCGAATTGGTTGCTCCTTGGGGTCCTGCTTCTCTTATGATCAGTTCGGAGCCAGCCGCCTGAATGACCTGAACGACCCGATGAACCTTGAAATTTTTATTTATTTTAATTTTTTATTTTTTGAACCTTGAAATCCTATCATTTCCTTGCTTAAAGCCCTCCGGAGGTTGCCCAGCCCACTTGGGATAAGATCCAGATTCCTTAGCGTGGCCCATGGGGCCTCCTAGAGCCTCCTGCTGGCTCCCGCTTTCTTCCCGTTCTCTTCTTGGATATTCCCTACGGACTAGCCACCTTGGCCTGTCTGTTCCTCTGCCATGCCTGCCCCCTTCTGCCCCAGGACCCAACTGCCAGCCGTCCCCTCTGCCTGAAATACTGTTTCTTGGGCCTCTTCTCATCTCAACTCAGATGTCAGCTTAGAGAGGTTTCCTCTGTCCACTGTATCCAAAGTCGTTTTTAGAGTTTGACTCATTATTCTGCGTGACACCACGCGGCTATGTCCTCCAGTGTCCGGCGCTGCTGGGTCCGCGTCTTACCTGTCGTGTCTCCCTGACCAGACTGGAAGTGCTGAGCACGGGTTCCACCCATCTTTTTTTTTTTTTTTTAAGATTTTATTTATTTATTCATGAGAGATACAGAGAGAGAGAGAGAGGCAGAGACACACAGGCAGAGGGAGAAGCAGGCTCCATGCAGGGAGCCTGATGTGGGACTCGATCCCGGGTCTCCAGGATCAGGCCCAGGGCCAAAGGCAGCGCTAAACCACTGGGCCACCTGGGCTGCCTGGATTCCACCCATCTTGTTCACAGCCATACCCCTTGCACCAGGAACAGGGCACGTAGTAGGAGCTCAGTAAACGTTTGCTGAGTGGAAGAATGAGGATGGGGATCATGGCTGGCTTCGCATCCGTCCGGTGCCCTCTCCACATTCTGGGTCAAACAGGCTGAGGTGCTTTGCTCGGGGCCCCACTTCCTTCTCAGTCCCCTTCTTTCCGTGACAGGTTTGTTCTCATGAACAAGATGGATGACCTCAACCTGCACTACCGGTTTCTGAACTGGCGCCGGAGGATCCGGGAGATTCGAGAGGTCCGGGCTTTCCGATACCAGGAGAGGTTCAAGCACATTCTTGTAGATGGAGACACTTTGAGGTGAGTTTAGGGGAGTGCTTCCACATTTTCCTTGCTTTGCCAGATCTTATTATTTTGAGGTTTTATTTATTTATTCACGAGAGACACAGAGAGAGGCAGAGACACAGGAGGGACAAGCAGGCTCCATGCAGGGAGCCTGACGTGGGACTCGGTCCCGGGACCCCAGGATCACGCCCTGGGCCGAAGGTAGATGCTAAACCGCTGAGCCACCGGGGATCCCCATTTTTGCCAGGTCTTAGAGATGAAAAGGGCTTTTTCTGAAGCAGAAGACTGTCTGCACTGTACCGGGAGGGCCTTTGACCCTGGAGGCCTTTCTGAGTGGAGCAGTGTGTGTGGCTACACCCCATGCCCCCTTCTGCCTGTTTCTCTGGGTCACTGTGTTCTGGTCTGTGTTGCAAGCACTCACGACAGAGGTAGGAAGCCGCTGGCGTCTCGAGTTGCCCAAGTGCCTTGTGGGGAAGAGAGGACTCCAGGGGCGTGTGGGGTGTCTGTGTCTCCACAGCCTGTGTGTCGGGTTGGGTCCGATGGAGAGTGGCCGTGGATTCAGAGGCAGTGGATCTCCTGTTTTGGGAAGGATGGTTCTATAGTACATCCTGCCCACCACCCTCCAGCCCTGTGCTGTGTGTGTGTGTGTGTGTGTGTGTGTGTGTGTTTTCTCTTTCTTTTTTTTTTTTAAGATTTTATTTATTTATTCATGAGAGACACACACACACACACAGAGAGAGAGAGAGGCAGAGGCACAGGCAGAGGGAGAAGCAGGCTCCATGCAGGGAGCCCGATGTGGGACTTGATCCTGGGTCTCCAGGATCACACCCTGGGCCTAAGGCAGCAGTAAACCGCTGAGCCACCCAGGGATCCCCTGTTTTCTCTTTCTTTTCTGGCTTGACCCCTTCCCTGACTCCTCCTGAGCCTGATTCTCTCTCAGAGTTGTCCCTGAACCGGGGAAGAAGTAGTGCTTTTTAGCCTGGAGACAAGAAAGCTGAGGTGTGGGGACCGAATAACCATCTTCCAGTCTACGAAGGGCTTTGGTACAGAGGATAAAGACTAGCGGCTCTTCAGCTCCACTGAGGACAGAGCCAGAGGGAAAGGGCCGAAGCTGCAGCATGAGGGATTGAGGTTAGACAAGGTTGTGAGACCCCCCCCCCCATTAGGCAACTAAGCGAGGCTCTGCTTAGTTCTCTTCTCCCTGGAAATGAAGGAGCTGGCCTTGTGTTGGTCTGGCGTGGGTAGGACCCTGGCTGGAGGCAGCAGGAGCGGTAGGTGACCTCAAGTATCTTGTTCTGGTGTCTGTGCAGATGTCCTGAAGTGTGACCTGATGGATTCTCCTCTGTGTTGGCCCTTGTGGGGTTGGGGGGTTGGGGATCTGAGGCCCTCCCCCCAACTCCTGGGCTAGGCTGCTAATGGAACTCCGCCCTCATTCCTCCATCAGTTACCATGGAAACTCCGGGGAAGTTGGCTGCTACGTGGCTTCTCGACCTCTGACCAAGGACAGCAATTATTTTGAGGTGATCAAGGCAGTGGGTGGGCAGAGCAGGGGGTGAGCATGTTAAGCTCCAGGGAGCTCTTTTATTAGATTCTTGATCTGATCCTTTTAATTTTCCCTCTGGGCTGTCTTTTTAGCTGAGAAAAGGGCAGAGGATAGTATGGCGTCTCAGATGAGAGATAGGTGCCCTAGTCCTGTCACCCTGGTCCTTCTGCTCTCCTGCCCCTCAGCTAGGTAGTAGCTTTGACCCGTATCTCAGGCTCTGACCCATGTCCTTTCCCACCTGCTAACCCAAGCCCAGCCTCTGCTCCATGTCCAATCTTTTCCCATGATTTGGAAATGATTTTCTGAGTAATCATGATAAAGTAGGGCCCTAGTCTCCCCAGTTCAGAGTGCCCCGTCTTTTCTCCAATCCGCATGTCTTTCGTCTCTTTGAGCCTCTTTGAGTCTTTGATGTCTGCTCCCCTTCCCCAGCACCCCCAGCAATTCATCGCATTTCTGGTACCTGCTAACTGTGCCCTGCTCTCCTTCCTCCAGGTGTCGATTGTGGACAGCGGGGTCCGGGGCACCATTGCTGTGGGGCTGGTCCCTCAGTACTACAGCTTGGATCACCAGCCTGGCTGGTTGCCTGACTCCGTAGCCTACCATGCTGATGATGGCAAGTGAGTTGCCTCTTGTGGAACCTGACCCCTTTCCTATGGATTCGGGAACCTTAGATACCAAGGACTGCCCTGGATTGCTTCTGCCATTCCGTCACCTATCTTGGCATGTTTTGCGTGGACTTTTCTGATCAGGATGGGAAGGTGGCCTAATAGCTAGACTTGGAGGTTCTCGGACTTAGAGGGGCGGGTGGAGCTCATGTGTGGACACAAGTAGATGCCATCGCAGAGTGACTGGGAGCAGGAAGGTAGGCCCCAGGGGTTTGTGCCGTGGAGAAGTTGGGAGGCCAGGCTTAGGTCCTGTGTCTGTGCTGCTCTGTCCACAGGCTGTACAACGGCCGAGCCAAAGGCCGCCAGTTTGGGTCAAAGTGCAACTCTGGGGACCGGATTGGTTGTGGCATTGAGCCTGTGTCCTTTGATGTGCAGACTGCTCAGATCTTCTTCACCAAAAATGGGAAGCGGGTGAGTGGGAAATTCTGGGTGGGATTTGAGGGGCTTGAAGCCATCTGAAGAATTGTGGGTGTGCAAATGATCTACTGGCTGGGGCTTGCCCAGGGACCCCGAGGCTGAATTCCCATCTCCTTCAGGCCATCTTGAGCTTCTCCTGAAGTCTGCATATAGGAGAAGACACCGCCCCTGCCCAGGGATGCCGGGACATTAGCCTAGAGGATAGATGCAGAGGGGTAGGTTTGTGCAGTGGAGGGTGAGCAGAGATTGTTGGGAAAAGGATCAGGTGATTTAGGGGAAGGTTTTGAGCAGAAAGAGAGGGAGAAGTTACAGCCTGGATGCATAAGCTAGAGGTCCTCTTTGGAGCTTTGACTGGAAGATGTGAGGATATGCCCCTCTGTGCGTTCTTTTGTTTCACTTGTTCTTTCCTTCCCGCTTCAGAGAGAGGCTAGTAGTGGTGAAGAGATGGGTAAGAGCAAGTAGGAGAGAGAGCCCCCTAGCTCTTTACTTCTCCTACCCAGCTCCCTCTCCCACCCTGGGAGGATCGCTGTCCCAGGCATTGGCCACGAGGTTGTCCCTCCATAGGATCCATGCCTCCTCACTTACCTGCTCCAGAACACACTCACATGTACCAAAACCATTCGGCAGCAAGTCAAGAGACTTGCATTTGCCATCTAGCTCTGTGGATACCTTGCTTGGCCAGGAGTGCTTAGCAACTTTTCCATCTTTTCTGTACTTTTGTTTTTCTGTCTGTCTGCGTGTGTGATAATTATTTGTTGCATCATCTCGAAAGTACCCTGGAGAGAATCAGGTGAGCTATAGAAAAGGGAGCCTGGCGGCAGCTCTCTCCTTCCCTTCCTCCCTCCACTCCAGGTGGGCTCCACCATCATGCCCATGTCCCCAGATGGACTGTTCCCAGCGGTGGGCATGCACTCTCTGGGTGAGGAGGTGCGGCTGCACCTCAATGCTGAGCTGGGCCGCGAGGATGACAGCGTCATGATGGTGGACAGTTACGAGGACGAGTGGGGCCGGCTGCATGATGTCAGAGTCTGCGGAACTGTAAGTGAGAAGCATGGGATGCGGTGGTCACTGCCAGGGAGGGCTGGGCCGCACCCCCCGGGCCATATAAGTGTGTCTGAATTGCTTAGAATGGGGAGCAAGGTGGTGTTTCTTGCAGGGTCTTGGGAAATGGCATCAGGGGCCTTGACATGATTCTTAGAATCCAGATCTGTGTTCTCCTTAGTGCTGGTTGTCTCCTTCCCTTCCCTGTCCCTGAGAGCTCAGGTGAGTTGCTTTGCTCTCAGAACAGCAGTAAGTTCTCTTTTGCCTTCTTTGCTTCCTTCTGCATCGGGTACCCTCTGCTGCCCTCTGCACACGTGCCTTTGGAGCTGTCCATTCACTGTGCTGTGGGGCATGTGTGGTCACAAGTCCTACTCCTGCAGTGGGAGTGGGTTTGGGGTCCCCAAACCCACTGTGTTTCTGTTCCAGCCACCAAGTGAGATCCGTTTGGAGTCAGTGTGAATGTCAGTGTCTTCTGTCTCCCCCTACATTTTAATAGACGAGAATAAAGGCAGAGGAAGATTCCATGAGAATCCTTGACTCTCCAAAGTTTGATTTTTTATACATCTTCCCATCATACCTGCTTTGGTCTCTCCTTGGATTTGAAACTTTCTTGGGGGAGCAAATGGACCTCGGGAGAGGAAATTCTTCACATCTACCCTCTATGCCTCGTCCTGGGTTGGGTGTGAGTGGATGCTGAGTCAGGGTGCTGGCCCTGACCTCTGGTGGGCTGCTTGGACCTCCCACTTGGAATTGTCCCTGTGCTGCCCTCCTGCTCCGGCTCAACCTTTTTCTCCACCCTCTGGCCTTCTCACCCCAACCCAGGCTGTTTTCAACTCAGTCTTTGATAGCAAAACAGAAACAGTGGGGGGTGGGAGTAGATTATGAGCCAGGCTCCCCCCATTCTGGAGTTTGAGGTGAGTCAGACTTAGGGAAGATGGACCATGTGCCCTCCTGCTGCTTCTGACACTCTGCACCCCCTCTGGCCCTGGAGTCTGAGGACGGGATGGCTGTAAGCCGGGGGCTTCATATGCCCACTCCCTGACCCTCATCTCTCTCCTTTCTTTTCCCCCTTCCACCATCATTTGACAACATCTACAGAGTTGAATTTGGGACTGAGCCAGGGCGGTGTTCCAGCTCTCATCCCTGACCTCTCCTCAAGAGTGTTTTCCTGGCATCCTTTCCCTGCCTGGACCTGTCCCCACTCTGCCCCCAGCTCCTCCCAGGCAATCTTTTCTAATTGATGTAGGATCCTGTAGACGTTTAAAAATAGCTTTCCTTCCTCTCTGCCCTCCCCCAATGCCCTTAGGTCACACATTGGAGAATTTTTTTCTTTCTTAGACATAAGCTGCGACGTTTGGCTCTTCTCTCAGACCCTCACCCCAGCTTGGGACAGGTGGCAGGGTGGACACACTGTTCCCTGAGCGCCTGGTCCTCTGGGGAAGAGACTGGGCATGAGCCTCTTGAGACTTGTATGCCTGTTGTCTCCTCTTGCCAACTACCCCATCTTCCAAATGAGAGTGACTTACCCAGTTTCCTCCATCCCCACTTGTCTCTTGCCCTGCGCCCTCTTGTCCCTTCTGACCATCCACTGTGTTTCTGATCCAGCCACCAGAGTTGTGTTTCCTGGAGGAGCCTGGGAGAGGTCATTTGGGCCATGCGTGTGCCTCCCATTTCTAAAGACGTCTAGCTCAGCTGTTTCTTCTCTTTGCTCTTCCTGTTTTCCTGTCCGCTCTGTGGGGAGCCTTTCCCTGGGGCCTCAGACCTCTGTTGTTGGTTGGAGCCTGTTTCTACCGTCTTGGGTGACGTTTCCAGTAGAATGTCCTTTAGATCATTAATGGTTTGGGAGAAACTCTGATGCCATCTAGTCCAGGGCTTCCCAGCATGGAGCTGGAGACCGTTACTTGACGTGCAAGATGTTTAGCATCCCTGGCGCCCAGACCCAGGATGACTTAGAGCAACCTCTCATAGTCATTGTGACAGCCCTTTTGTTCCCAGATCTCTTCTGGTGCAGCCGATGAAAAAACAGCCCCATACAGAAGTGAAAAGACTTGTTCAAATGTCAAACAGTGAATTAGCAGCAAAACCAAGCCTGGATATTCATTCTTTGATCCTTTGCCCCTGCCCTGTCCACTCACTACCAGATACATGCTGTGTCCTTCTCCCCAGCCCCCCTTCTGTAGCCTGTCATCTCTCCTCCTGGCCCTTCTTATAAGATGGATCTGGAGTTCCCAGGATTAAGTTCCTACTTTCCCTGTGAGTCTCCTGACCGGTTCCCTTAGCCACAGCCCTTCTAGGTGAGTTTATTGGGCTGCCATGGGACCCTTTGCCTCCTGGGCCTCTCTCTCAGTTTGGAATCTCAGTTATCTTCTCCCTTCTTTCTCACTGGTTCTTCCCACAAAGAAGAGCAAGTTCCTGACCCCCGTTTTTTTGGTTCTGACATTAAATTATGAACAATTTCTTATGTACAGAAAAGTTGAAGAAATGATACAGTGAGCATCCATCATCTACCCACTACCTAGCTTCAATTGTTGTTTTTATACAGACAGACCTGGCTCTTCTTGAATGGAAGTCTTGCCCCTATGTCCTATGGCCTCAGTTTCCCCTCCTAGAGTCCCCCTACCTTTGCAGAGCTATGAGGGTGTTGAAGAATTGCTGCTGTGTTTGCTTAGGGATGGGGGTGTTGCTCCTCACCTCATCCCTGCCCCCAGGCCTTGCAAAGTGAGGTCATGTGTGGAGGGTGGGGGGCAGGAGGTAAAGCTGGGGGATTAGACTCATTCTGTCTTTGTTTCATGCACATAGCTCCTCTGACAACTCCTTAGTGACGGGGCAACAGCTTTGGTACACAAAGAGGGGTGATTGAGGCCCCACCCTCCAGGGGTCCTCCCGGACCCAACCCAGGAGGAGACCGTGTTGGGGCCTGAGCTGGCTGGTGGGGAGCACGTTCTGGGTTCCTGCTTCAGCTGCTTCTAGGCCTCAGGGCACTGAGCCTTGCTCCTGTCAAGAGGGATTAGGGTCTCTGCTGGCAAGAGGAGGAGGGCGGGTACCAGCGGGAGAGAGGAGGCTGGGGTGGTGCTGTTGGTACCAGGTGGGGGTTGGAGTGCAGGAGGCTCTTTGCACTTGCCTCTGCAGCCTCAGCTCTGTGCCCTCCAGTCCACCTGTCTGGCCTTCCAAGGCCTTGTGGGTGTGGGGAGGGAGGCACAGGAGTCAGGGGGGCTTGAGAGCCCCAAGGAAAGGGCACCCCTCCCCCCATCAAACGTGTAGGGGACCCATCCGCTGGGCATTGTTGGCTGGGCATTGTTTGCGGAGAAGCACTAAGAGGGGACTGCTGCTCGGAGGGGATAGAGTAATCTGGGGCATGCTCCTCTCTTAGGGGGAAAGGTGACGGTTCTGGGAGCCTCAGAGGCCATTGTAGTTGGAGGTAAGGGCTGAGATGGAGGGCTGTTTCCTTCTGCAGTTGGCACGTCTGGTCTTTTGTAGCTTTGGGGTGACTGTTAAGCATTTAAGCATTGGCCAGCTGGTGTGTTCCGGTCTAGACCCCACTTCCTGATTAGGGAAAGGCAGACGCGTAATGACCCCCGGCACTTGCCGCACTTCATTTAGTCTGTTTGGAAATGCGGGTGGTAGTAACCCTCTTTTACTGGTGAAGAAACAGGCCTAGAGCAGCCAGTCACTTCCTCAAAGGGGCTCGTAAGTCACAGGAGTTACTGTGTGATTGTCTTTCCAACTGAGGCTTCTGAGGCGCAGATTGAGGGACCAGCGTGGAGATTGCGGTGGCCCCGATCGGATCGGGGCTGACCTCCATCCGCTCTGTCTGAGGAGGGAGGAGTGAACTGGAGCCAGGCTGTCGGGGAGGCCACAGTGCCCACCTGCCCCCGGAAGTGCTGAGAAAGCTCTGGATGACTCCTCTGAGGACTCGGGGGACATCACTGGGCAGGAGGGGAGAGCAGCTGAGGGAGGAGCAGAATTCGGGCAGCTTCTGCCCTGAGGGGTGGGTGTCCCTCTCGTGCGGAGGGCAGCATTTGCAGGGACCTGGCCTCCCAGCTGGCAGCCGTCTGTCCATCTGTCCATCCGTCTGCCTGTCTGAGCGCTGTGCCGGCTGGGGAGTGGGTTTCAGAGTCCCACCGTCGTCTGCTTCATCCTCCTGACCTTTTAGCTGGAGGAAGCGTCCCCACCCTGTCCACAGACAAGACTGCAGCGGCGGCCCTCCTCAGGGCTGAGGCCTAGGGGATGGTTGGGCGGGTTTTTCCCAAGGATCAGGAGCTGGAGCGGCTGGCTCTTGGCTCTGGGAGTGGAGAACACTGTGTTTCCTACACCGAGGCCAGTTGGATGGAGTGGGTCAAGGGCAGCTGTGGGGTCCCCCACCCAGTTCTGCAATGTTGGCCGGAGAGGGTGGGCTGGGGGCTGCTCTCGCTGGGTGGAGTGTAAGCCAGTGAATGTGCACCAGGCGCCACCCCTCCCGCTTGTGGGGAGACTCAGAGGAGGAACCCAGGCTGAGCTGAGAACACAGGGGGCCGTGAGGGGAATTCCAGCCGCACGGGCCTTCATGAGCACCCTGAAAGTCAGAAGATGGCCTGCCAGGGACCCCGTTCTGCAGAAAGAAAGCAGTGTGAGCCAACGGAGGACACCTGGGCTGGGGCGTAAACATGCAAGGGCCAGCATAACCCGAAACAGAGAGGGTCGTGGCTGGAGGAAATTGAAAAAGAGCCTGAGTGTGGATGTAGGAGGTTGCCCTGGTTGTCGTCTGGCTTTTCCCCTGGTTGTCGTCTCCCCCCCCCCCCCCCCCGCCCCGTTCCCACCTCCAGGTGTCTTTTGGAGAGGAGGGGAGGATGGACCTGGGGTGGTGGGGCTCTGGGGAGCCAAGGCTGAGCACGGACCCAGTCCTTCTGGTTCCTCTCTGAAGAAAGTGGTGAGGATGGAGGCCCTGCGTCTGGGGGTGTCCCAGAGACACACACAGGCTTCCACGCTGGTGCAGGCGAACGTAATTCCTTTCCTGTTCAGGCAGGAGTTCTTTGGTGGTGAGAGGCCAGGGTCCAGAGGCTTGCCAGGGATAAGTGGAGGAGGTCCCCAGGCAGTGTTTTCTTCGGGGCTGGAGGGGCTGGAGGAGCTGGAGTAAAGTCTTGAGGGGCAGTTTGGCTAAATAAAAAGGGATTAAGGACTCCCAGGTGATGCTAGGGTGGGGCAAGAGGGGATGGGGTTGAGTCAGAACCCCACCGTTACCATGACAACTGATAAATAAATCCTCCCAGCTTGGGGGTTGCCGCCCCATCATGCCCAGGCAGGACCATTGTGGAACCGAAGAGCCCCAAGAGTCCATCAGTCGCCTCCCCTCTGCCCCCGCCCCCCCACATCCCTGTGCTATGAGAGAGCTGCGGGGGGCTGTGAACAGGAAGGCTTGCCTTCGTGTCTTCTCCCGCTGCCGTCTGTTAGGTAAAGGAGTAGAGCCGGTGGTTCTGGGTTCCCCGGCTCCCCTCGGCAGCCCCCCGGCCCAGCTCTGTCCAAAGCCAAGTAGAACAGCCCTGAGGCATTCTGGTACTCCCATCCAGGCACGTTGGTTTCTGAGCTCTCCTCTGCTCCTCAGACATCTGGAGCTGCCACCTACCCTCTGTGCCCTCCCTGTCCCCATTAGGCCCCTCCAGGGGTCCTCTCTGCGCCCAGGGCCCCCAGGGAGGCCTTGTCCAGCAGGTGCTCAGGGAGGGGGTGCCGGAGCCTAGAGGCCCCCAGCATGGCCACTGGCACCCGGCCGCCTGGTTGCTGCGCCGCTGCCCACTTCTCTCCCGAGGCAAGGAGAGCGTCTTCGGCTCAGATGGCAGGTGGCTGCGGGGCCCGGCCCTCCTGCCCCTGCCGCCACCTTTGCTACCCACACTGCACCCCATTCTCCCATGCCTGCCTAGGACATTGGGGCCCACGATGCGCCTCTAGGATCCTTTCCCTTTTGGCGAGAGGTTTTGTTGGACCCAGGAAACTGCTCTTGAGTGCCTTGGGACCAGGTTTCTGGGGCAGGTGTCATTCTGCCCTCGGCTCTCCCCCCGCAGCTGCTGGAGTACTTAGGCAAAGGCAAGAGCATCGTCGACGTGGGGCTGGCCCAGGCGCGGCACCCGCTGAGCACCCGTAGCCACTACTTTGAGGTGGAGATTGTGGACCCTGGAGAGAAGTGCTACATCGCATTGGGGCTGGCCCGGAAGGTGGGCACTTGTAGAGCTGCTCTGCTCCGGGGCTGGCGGGATGGGGTCCAGAAGCTCTTAGGAAAGTTGGGGGGAGGTGGGCAGGCTGTGGAGGGAGGGTCTTAACCTGGGACAGAGCCCCCTCCCCCCATGACCTAGGACCCAATGGAAGGTCGGCCTGAAGGTGGGATGGGGCGGCCTGCAGCCCTGGCTGGGAAAGCCAAGCGCCCTCGTCCCCCTCCCTGCTTCCCTGGCTTCTCTAGTGCCCGAGAGGCCACAGGGTTGTGAACAGCCATCTGTCTGAAAAGATTGAAGGTTCACACGCCCTCTCTCCTGTCCTCTTTCCGCACATGGTACCTACCATAGGTTTTCTTTTTCCTTCTTGGTGCAGGACTATCCCAAGAACAGACACCCTGGCTGGAGCAGAGGCTCTGTGGCTTATCATGCAGGTGAGTGGGGGCTGCCCTAGAGCTGCGGGGTATGTGGAGGCATAGACACGCCTGTTTCTGACACCCCCCACCCCCCCGCGGATGGTCTCCCCTCCAGCCTCTGGCAGGGGAGACTTTCCCCGGCTGCTGTCTCCTCTCCCTTTCCCAGGCTGGTAGTGCTTTCTCCTGATTTTCCTCGTAGCCTGAAAAGCCAGGGGAGCCGAACAGGGGCGGGGGATCTGGGCCCAAACTGGACATTCCAGGCCTCTGAGTTGGCTCCCTCTGCGCCTTCTTGTAGATCCTGCCTTTTTTTTTTTTTTTTTGGATCGGCTTGATTTCCTTTAGGGCTCTCTTTAGAAAGCAGTTGCCCTGAGCTCCTGGTGCCACCCCTGTCCCTTCCTCAGCCCTCTCCCTCTCCCTCCAGCTCCCTGAGGGAGTCTGTCCCTCAGCCCCTTCAACAGAGTGTCTTTTTTTTTAATCTGGGGCCTCTTCCTATTTCTGTCTCCATTTTTGTTTCACCTTGACACCCCCCCCCACCCCTGGGGGGTGCAGAGAGGGAGGCAGGCTAGCATTCTGCTTGAAGCAGGGGCCTCTCTGTGCGTGGGGGCAGAGCGTCAGCCCCTCCTTCGGGTGTGAGTCTCCTCTTCTCCCCTCCCTTCAACAGATGACGGGAAGATCTTCCATGGCAGTGGTGTGGGGGACCCCTTCGGGCCACGCTGTTACAAAGGGGACATCATGGGCTGTGGCATCATGTTCCCCCGGGACTACATTCTGGACAGTGAGGGTGAGTGGGTTGAGGGTGGCCGGCCAGGCGTGTCGGGCCGACGGTGGGGGCAGCACCACAGGGGCTCACGTTTCCCGGCCTCCTAGGTGACAGTGATGACAGCTGTGACACAGTGATCCTGTCCCCCACTGCCCGTGCCGTCCGGAACGTCCGCAATGTCATGTACCTGCACCAGGAGGGAGAAGAGGAAGAGGAGGAAGAGGAAGAGGAAGAAGATGGGGAAGAGATTGAGCAAGAGCATGAGGGCAAGAAAGTGGTGGTGAGTGGGGCGGGTGTGGGGTGGGGGTTGGACTAGGGTTCCTGGGTCTGGGGGGCCTGCCCCTCGGGGGATAGGATGGGAGCCAGAGCGCTTGGAAGAGGGGAGCCCTGGCAGGGGCTGCTGTTCTGAGGAGCTACGCGCCCCTGGGCCGCGGTGGGACCTGGTTTCCAGACGCCCCCTAGTGGCCACTTCCCACATCATGCTGAGGCTCCCCTTGGGAGGGCCTGGGTGGGGGGTTGCCCTGGGGTCCTGCCTGTGTGACTGTGGCATCAGCAGAGGAGGCCAGAGCCAGCCTGCTCCACTCCTCGCCTTGCCTCTACCCCCAGGTTTTCTTCACTCGGAACGGCAAGATCATCGGGAAGAAGGATGCTGTTGTACCTTCTGGGGGCTTCTTCCCCACCATCGGGATGCTGAGCTGTGGGGAGAAAGTCAAAGTGGATCTGCATCCCCTAAGTGGCTAGGGGCTTCTCCCCTAGACCTGCCCTGCCTCCTTTCCCTCGCCCTTTGCAGAACCAGGTGCCCAGTTCCTGCCTCCCCCCCGGGTTTGCTTACCCAGCAGGCCCCAGGGAGTGCGTAGCCCCTCTGCCTCTCCCGGACAGGTCCCCGCCACGCCCCTCTGTGCCCACGTTCCTGACCTGTGCCATCCTGACCATCAGTCAGTCTTGGGCCTAAGTCCCTGGTTGGAAAGGAACAGGCCCAAAGGATGGTGTTGCTATACTGGTGGGTCCCCCTCGCTTTGGCTGGTGGACTCCCGCACCCGCTTTTCCCCACGGGCCGTGCAAGTGGAGAGGAGTGGGCCCCGTCTCAGCTGCTATTTGGGCATGAGGCTTTGCAGAGGGTGGAGTAGAGACTGCCCACTCCCCTATTTATCACAGTATTTCTCTTTGCATCTTCTCTTTTTTGTTCTTGTCCTCATCGTGTGGACCGGTTGCTGCTGTCGTCCCCCCTGGCTGGGCTAGGGGGGCTCTCCCGGGCCTTCCCTCTCTTTCCACTGACTGCTGTCCCAGGAATGCTCCTCCGGGGTCTCCGCTCCTTCCCCTGACAGCCCGCTTGCTCCCTCGCCGCCTGCTCAGGTGCTGTAGAGTCCCACAGAGAATCTGGGTCTCCGGCTCCCCGCAGCCGTACACACCTAGGTGGGCGTCCGTGGTGTGTTTAATGGAGTGAGAGGGGCTGCTCGGTGAGGGGGCTGGGCCTTGGCTCCCATTCCCTCCTGGCCATCCTTGGGCTACCCGTGGCACCCCGTCTCTGGTTCCCTGGGCTGTAGGCAGAGTCCAGAGCGGTCTCTCCTGCCGTGGTGAGGCCGAGCCCCCAAGAGCCGTGGTCGTGAGCCCAGAGGGCAGTGTGGCCCCTCGCCCCCGTTCCCTGCCCCACCCAGGCCCCAGCTTGCTGCCTGTGCCAGTTGCCTGTTTTGCCTCAGTGTTTGATTCTAGCACTTACATGTGTCCTCCCCGGCCAAGCCCTCCTGTCTCCTGCCGCCTGACCCCGACCCCCTTCCCATACAGTGACTTCTCCTGGGAGGAAGAGGGGGCAGGAGCTGTTAGCCTTGGTTTGCACAGAGTGGGTGGGCCTTGGGGAAAGGGGGTGAGCTGCTGTGTGGCTGGGGTCCCCCCTTCGGCCCTCCGCTACGATGTATGAAATGTATGTACAGCCCAGAGATGTTTATACAGCCAATAAAGACGGAGTTTCTGTATTTATCAGTACAGTCTGGACAGGGGCGTCCTTTCCAGTCTATAGGGCAGGGGCAGGGCTAGAGGCTAGAGGTGGGCGCAGCTGAGGCAGCTTGCTCGCCGGAGACCTGGACCAGTGTGAGGCCAAGGACGGGGATCGTGTGTGTTCTGTGGACCTGGCTGTGGCCTGGGATGCCCCAGGAGACGCGAGGCTTTGACCTTCCCGTGAGCAAGGCTCGACTCCGACTCCGAGGTAATGTTCTAGAAATTCTTTATTAGACAAAAATAGACTCTTTTTTTTTTTCCTCCCCTATTCATGTGATCCCACTCTGATCCCTCTGCTCGGAGGGGAGGCAGAGGAGGGAGTGCCTTGCTCCCCGCCCGCCTCCCCGGCCCTGCCAGGCTGGGACCTGCAGCTGGGTGGAGCTGGCAAGCCCTGTCTCCCCGCCAGGCCTGACGTTCTGCACGCGGGGCTGTCCAGATCCCCCCGGGGTCCAACTGCCGATGCCGCCTCACCCTTCACACACCCGTCTCTGCCATCTGCGCACATGCAAGGTCCTCTCACAGGCCCATCCACTTGGCTTAGCAGGCTGGGGGCAGGGAGGAGAGCGGTGTCCCGGGCTCCCCGCTCCCGACGGAGGGGGCTGGCTCCTGGGGCTCCTGGGGCTCCTGGGCCCGGGCCCGGGGAAGTGAGGACTGTGGGGTGCTGAGAGGTGCGCGGTGTTGGTGTGGGCTCCGAGCTTGTGGCCTCTGCCTTCACTTTCTCTGGCCCAGTAGGACTTTGGTGATAAAGGTGACAATGGCGCCCGCGGGCTGGTCTGGGTCAAGCTCTGCGAACAGGTGACACACGTTCTCCCAGGGGCTTCCCGGCTTCTTGGCCACGAAACCAAAGATCCTAGGGGTGCAGAGGCAGAGTGGGGATGGGGCTCAACATCCCTTCCACAAGACACTGCTGAGCCACGGCCGGAGAGGGAGGCAGCGCCTGGGTCCCGTGGGGGGCAGGGGCTCGTGGGAGGCTCACTTGGAGGTGGTCCCGTCGGGGTTGGTCCATCTGCGGGAAGAGAAGGACGGTGAAGCCACGCGCCCAGGGTGTGTGTCGTGGAGGAGGTCTGGGGGGGGTGCTGTCTGGCGGGAGCGTGGGCCGTGAGAGCCGGGGGGCGGCCGGGACGCTCACCTCCGGTCCTGAGGATCGGTGCTGGAGAAGGTGATACTGTTCACCGGGTAATGGCGGCGAAAGAAGAGCCTGCGAGGAGGATGGGGGGTCACAGCCAGAAGCGGGGGCCCCCGGGCTCCCTGGGCTTGGTGCACATACTCACTTCCTTTGGTTGTCTGTCAGCGTGATGCCCTGGGCCGAGACCTTGAAGTGGACGACGGCTGGGGTCGGCCGGGGGCTGCAGCTCAGAGCTGCCGAGCTGGCCCGGGCCACCGCCTGCGGGCCGGTCAGGGACTCGGTCTCCACCGATGTCAGGTAGAGCACGCTGCAGGCTAGGGGCAGGAGAGGCCTCGTCCCTACCCTCCCCTCCCCTCCGCGCACCTGCTGATGGGCAGACGCTGCGGTTTCCCTGGATCCACGGTGGGAGCCGCCGGAAGGAGCCCCGGGAGCCTGCGTTCTAGCAGGTGCCCATGATGCTGAGGTCCCAGACGGATGATCCCCCCCCTCGCAGACCCGCCCCCCCCACACGTCAGGGCCTCTCTGCAGCACCCCCCCTGCGCCCCGGGGGGCTCCT